TACGCAAGAACGTATCGTCTTCATCTCGCGTTGGTTAATTTTAAACAAAACACGCATCTACAAGGTATTTAATATTGAACATCTGTGCGGGTAGTGTGAATTATTCCAAAGTGCCTCTTTACTTTCGGAATTTATCTCACCTGCCTCGTAAAACCAACTTCAATTTGCTTAAAAGGTGCAATGAATTGAAATATAATCTACAAAGCTCTTACTGAGATTTGGCAGAGCAGCACAAATCATGAGCATCAAGGAAGTTGCAAATTTTTCATAGTCAGACGAAGAAAAATAATTTGTTTCTTCTTCTTCTTCTTCTTTTCTCCGGGGGACTACGGAGTGTGGACTTGTGAAACAGCGCAGCACATGGCTCTTAGCCCTTTTCTCTCTTACATATTCTTCAATGATCACAAAATAGAGACAAAAGCAAGGCATTGACCTGTTGACGTTTGAGAAGCCTGTCTGTCTGCTAAAAGCAGACGTGTAAAATTAGTTAGTTGCACTACAACGCACCCAACACGTCTCGTTGCTCCGGCTTGGCGTCTCTCGGATGCCCGGATCATACAACATCTGTCAGCAAACGAGGCGGAAGTAGTCGCTTTTATCGGAAGTACCTAACTGTAACGGGGTGTGTGCCAGTAAGGTTGTAACTTTCCGCCGTTTAAAAAGTAGATCTATTTCTCTCGCCCGATCCTCCCGATTGGCAGACTGTCAGAATCCATGTTTACCATAAAATTCACAGACGCCAAAATCATAAAAAAGTAACGCCGTCGTCGAGCTACTTTTGTTACTTTTGCTCTATGATTCCTGGGAATAAGAACATTTTCTTACAGAATTCTGTGAGGCTGCCACTCCCGGGAGAATCTGGAGAATCTGAATAACTCAGGGAATGGAAATTCTATAGAAAACAGGGAAAAGCTAGGGCATTTCAGTGATGAATTATGAGCTTTTCCTATACCTGAAAAAAATCATTCTTCGCACGAAAAATAGGAGCACGGGGCTCTCGGAGGATATGGACATTTCCAATTAAAATTGTGGTAGTGTCCTAATTAATTTTTGTAGTACCCCAATAAATTAGGGTGCTAACTTAAATGTTGCGGTACTATCCCAATTTGGCTTGCAGTACTATTTACCACAATTTACTGGGAATGCCCATATTATCCAACAAATTGGGGTGCCACCACCATTTTAGGGCGTAACTCCCAACACTTTTTTCCGTGCAGTATACATGATACTCCTTACTAGAAGCCAGTCTATGTACATGTGAACCAATTTAATATTGATGTTGTGCTGAGGGGTCATCTATTCGGAAATGTCCACAAATTCCATGTCGTTACGGTTGAACGTTTTTAATATTATTTTGCAGTGCTATACCCTTACTACGGCTAGGGTTTAAAATTAATTCTTCTATGACGACCTCATGGAAAATTAGGAGAGCCTCAGGGAAAACTCTGGCATTTCGAAGTCGAGAGAAAGTGGTAACCTTAAGTTTTTCTCATCAGCCTGCAGTTTTTAATCAAAGTCTGAAATTAGCTTATGGATTGATTTCAGCACATCAAGAATAGGTACCAATAAAATTGACTACTTACCTAATAACGTCTGTACCTCAATTTTAAGAGATACAAATGTTGAGTTCAGAGGTGCTCATGTGATTCGTAGTCATTCATAACTTCCTGGTTCAAAGATCTACACCTCCAGTATACTCCCACGAGCTTTAATCCGCAAACTTGAGGGAGGAAAATGACGTGTAAATCGTCTAAAAATATAACTATGTAATTAATTATGTTTGCCAAAGTGACAACGTGAAGTAAAAATAAAATTCAAGAATACTTTACTTACACTTTTACTGAAGGGAAAGGTTTCCAAAAACACTTGAAATATCAGTTTGCAGATGCTAGCAGAAATTACAGACTCATGATCACATCAGATGCATCATATAAGTAAACGCAACTATTATCTTAAATCCTCGTAAGTGACGCTTTCTACCAATGAAGTGACCGAATAATTGACTTTTTTCTACCCAAAAAAATCGAAGACTTTGAAGATGACTAGAGTTAAGTGAGAGGAAAGAGGCGATTATAGTAAGAGAGTAACATTGCCCAAACCAGCACTGAATCGAGCTGGGCCTTCAAAGTTCCAAAAAAACTGGGGAAAAAGTTATCTAACACACTTACCCGATCACATTTTGGCAACACAGTCTTCGTAGCTTTGTGTCTCAGAACGGGAGCAAAACCTAGCAGAACTCGCTAAGTGAAAAAGGGCAACGGGCCAATTCGGTGCCAAATTTTAAGCTTGGAAGCGGTAAATTTAAGTTCAGTGGCGCTAACAGTGTTGACAAGTCGCATCCTCATCTCTAGATTTGTTTGATTGATGGTGGATCAGTTGCGCGTCTCACGGAGAGGTAGTTTCATGCTGAAAGTTTGCAGATAAGGCGTCAACCTGTAAGCAAACCTGTCTGAACGCCAATAGTTTAAGGCTGGTATTGAGATAAGGGACGTTTCAATGCCTATCTCCATGATGTCACTGTAAAAAGCACCTGCTCTGCTGATAGCTAAAAAGTTATTTATTCAAGACAGCCGGAGTTAAAAGAAAGTTAAAAAGCTGAAGTTAGTTATCATAAAGTATAGAGTGGAGGAAACGTTGCAAAACATCCCGACAAATGCAAATTTCACTAAAATTCTACCGAGCCGGTTAAATAACTCGATACGGTAAGGTTTGAATTCCACAAATAAATTGTCGTTTTCAACTTTTAGATTTTTTGTTGTCTCAAACTTTATAACTACTTCAAGCAGGGCCAGATTGGCTGGGCTGGCGGTTTGCTGTGGCATTATTTTCAATTGTTTGTCTCTAAGAGTTGATTGATCGAATCTATTGGGGCTCCTTAGAAGTCTTCAAGATTTTGATGGATTTTAGAGGTCCTGAAAGTGGGATTTCAGAGGTCATGGGACCGTTAAAGTTTATGATATAGCAGAGCTCCAAAGTGAGATCATTTTGGACGCTTTGTTCTTTTGAAAACTTAGACCGCCTTCAATTTACGGAGTATGCAACCCGAAACAGGCGGATTCTGGCGGATCCTTTACCCGCTAGCATTTCGGGCTCCTGAGCGCTAATCCGGCCCTGACTTACAGAGGATGTGAACCGATAATTTCCATCAGTTTACATTTAGAATAAATCAATGGCTGCGCTGTTTTTATGCGCTTTGCCGGAAGTTTGCAACGTTGCAACGGAAGAAACGTTGCAACTTTTTTCCTGGATTCGGTCAAAATGAATTGCCGATCTTAAATGAAAAATCCGACAACAAGCGGCTGGCTGTCGAATTTAGCTGCATCAGTTTGGGTATTTTTTCTACCTATGTTCGGCAACAGTGAATGCAAGTTTCCGATTCAGTCCACATGTCTTGACCTTCATACCGTGCAGCTAATGCAGGCAGCATAGGTACTCCAATCAAGTTGGCCGCTGTCCTATCCCTCAGTTGACCACATCTTTTCTGAGGTTTCTATTTCCCTGAAAATTTAATTTCCACCCTATCTAATTAGTTGTCTCGACGCCAAAATTGGCACGCCTCCCCATTTCCCCGAGACTCGACTTTTCCCGGATATCTCTCTCTAGGAGTATGCAACTTAACATTGTAGATTTTCCCGAGACGCCAGACCGTTCTCTTAAATGGCGTGCTTTATAAAATCAGAGCAGAATTCAATATGCCAATGACTCGCAAGAATGGATATTCTGATACTAAGCAAATTCGGATCTTATCGTCACGAGTGACTTTAAAAATAAAGAGGATTTTTCTTAACTTATGGTTACTTTGAAGAGAAATTAGGGTTTTTCCCCAAAATTTACAGGAAAAATAAGAGTAGATTACTTCAATCTTTGAAAGTTGATAGTTGTTGAAATCTTCATTTTTGGAACTTCCAAAGTTTTTCTTCCTCTTTTTTTCTTTTAAAGAATGTATGAGTAAAAAAACCTTCCTTTGCCTTCCAATGGGTTGATGATTGAAATTCTGTCCTTATCGATGGAATGGATAGGATAAGACTGAGTTGAAAGGGAATCAAACGACCAATCGATTCTTAGATACGAAAAAAAATAATAATAATTTAATAAGAATATTTAATATGATATATTAATAATTATTATTTTTATTTATATGACCAACTGCTAATTTAGTATAGTATATGCATTTTAAAATTTTAACAACTCTTTTTAAAATTTATTAACTCTCAAATTTTAGCAATTTTTACAGGCTCTAGGTTTGAAAGACTTGGCCACGGCCCATCTTTCAATCAGTTTTTATCCGAAAACGTAATTTCTGTGAGGAAAATCTTCCATAAAAAAATGAATTGATCAAGTAATCAATCACATAACTTTGTTCAGGCTTATTGTTAGTCTTATCACGTTCACGTATTTTGCATGTGCTTTCAAATGAAGGCGCCAACCAGAGTGGGCATTCAGAGTGATGTACTAACTAAACAGCACTTAAATATACTGAAACAGATAAATATAAAAAATACATTTCATGCCTCTTTTTCCCTCTAAACGACGTAGCATGCGCCGCCAGCGTTGGATCTGTACGGTTTAAAAGGGTGTGAGACAAAATACCTACAAGACTTTTAAAACAATGTCAGAGCTCATAAATGATACAGTTTCCCCATTAAGGCAGATCACAATAAATTGCGATTACATGATGAAATTATTGCCACCGCGCCAGAGTGTATGTTGCTTACTTACTGGTTAAAGGACCACTTTTTATTGAAATTTATTGCAATAAAATTGAAATACATTGCATTTCCTCATTCCATCGCAAATTGCCTGACACATGGAACTAATCATGTTGATTGTTTAAAATCGGTTTTTATTCACGGGAAGATGTGAAAAGATCGCAATTTCATGGTAAAAAACGCAACTTTATTGCATTAAATCAAAATCTGATCTAAATATTTCCTTTGCACTATGCTACTTGAGTTCGTGGTTTAGGTGAAAAATCATTCTTTTAAATGGATTTGTTTCAGGTGAAATCAGGGACCTTGGCTTCACAATATCTTCAACCCGGAGATAGAGTTTTGCAAATAAACGAAAGGGACAGTGCTCTCTTGGCGGAACATGAGGCTACCCAACTCATACTTCAACCATCAAAATGTTTAGAGCTTCTTATATTAAAATCCTCTACACCCCCTAGTGGAGAGGGCAGCAGGAACAGTCAACTTCACAAAATCAGTAAACCCCCAAAATATCAAAGCCCTCGATCCAGTCACGTTTTTGAAGACATTAGTGAGGAGGTCTGTACATCCGAAAAAGCATTCCGTAGCGAAAACCAACACGTTCAATCGAATTACGTCCAACAAGAGAATTATGAGCAACAAAGTGGGAGGCAAACTCAGAGGGAGTCTTTCTCCCGAGACGGACAGTGTAACAACGTCAACACTCATCAAAATTTAGAATCAAAGACGAGTTCACATATTATAGAAAATGAGAGGACCAGCCATGCGGCGGAAAGTAACAGTAGCTACTACACCTCTGAAAGTCAACTGTCCAAAACCCAAAATTCTCAAGTGATTCCAAATATTCCACCGAGGAGGTACACGTCCGAGAGGAAAGCAAACGATGAGAGAGGAAGTAATGGCGCCACCCAAACTTATTCAACCGTGGAGAAATCAGAGCAGCAAGCTCACCACCACCAAACTTACTTAGCAAGTTCGGACATAAACTCAGAAAACCGAGTATCACGAAACAACACCGACTCACAACGCGCACAGGAATCCACAGCCCCTTGGCGCAACTCAAACAGACGTCCGGACCAAGTTCCCGCCCAAGAAAACCATCAGACCAACAACCGCTCAAAACCAGAAAATACCATCGCTGAAAATGCCAACGGCACGCAGTATCAAAATTCCAAGTCCCAGAATTTCCAAGCCGCGGAGCTTGAAAGTGGTAGAACTGTAGCGAGCTCGAGTTTCCGCAAGTCGACGGCGAGCTACGAAAAATGTTCGAAGGTCCAGAGCGCAGAGACAAGGGTAGCCAAGAGCCAAGTTATCGCTCCAGCGGCGCAGGCCTCCAGGACGGAGCAATCGGAGACTTCGATTTCGAGGACGGAGCAATCGGGGGCTCCGAACTCGAGGACGGAGCAATCGAAGACTCCGCTTTCGAGGACGGACCAATCGGGGACTCCGATTTCGAGGACGGACCAATCGGGGGTTCCGATCTCGAGGACGGAGCAATCGGGGACCCCCATCTCGGTAGCGGACCTGCGGAGCTTCCTGCCGCGCTCGACGTACCCGAAGCTGAAGCAGCCGAAAGACTTCCAGCCGAAGCTGAGCAACTACTACGAGAACTTCAAGCTCCGCTCGGGCGAGCGGATCCAGCGGAGCATCTCGGAGCCCTCGGGGTCGCAAGCCCCGAGCCTGTCGTCGACCCCCGACGCCGGGGCCATGCACCCGGAGCCCGTTCCGCCCCGACACGAGTCCCGCACCCGACTCACCGACCCCTACTCCCAGTTCTTCAACGACAAACGCCGCACCTTCCACGAGGGCGAGACCTTCGCTCCGTTGAGCAAGTCCTTCTTCCGCTCGTCCAACCCCCAGCTGAACGAGGAGAGCAAAAGCAACGACCGGAGCTGGCGAGCGTCGAGCTATTGCGAAGGCACCGACGACGGGGGAAAGACACTCGACACTCGGAACTGCCAGACGCTGAAGCGGGACTCTAGAACCCAAGCTCAAACTAAATCAGCGAAATACGTTCGTTGTAACTCGAGCATTCCTTTTTTCCATGAGGACGCGGCGTCGGGCGATACCAAAGAGTCTGGGAAATCCACCAACAACACGTTCTACTCGACGACCACGACGAGTCACAAACCGAGAGTGTTCCCGTTCCCCGTTGAGTCGAGCGCAGGAAATACCAAAGAGTATAGTAGAGAAGTTGTGGAAACCTCGGAGGAATACCAGGTGGGAGAGGCCTCAAGAGAAGACTGTTTCTCTCCCTACGATAATCTCTCCGATGGCCACGGGGAGGGTTTTGGTGGAATGAAGAAATCCACCGACGTGGAGGAAGTGTTTCAGCCCGTCAGAGGTGGCAAGATATTCAACCGAGCCACGCAGAGGTGGGAGTTCTCTGCTACTCCGGTCACCGCTGACCCCAGTTCGTCCACCGAGCTGAATCAAAGCGAAGATCACATCGATAGTAATGATACATCGGTAACAGGATATTCGTATGGAGATGGGATCCCTCAGAGTAAAAGCGAGCAAGAATATAGAGCCGAAAAATCCGTTAGCGGATCCTCAATGGAGTATCGAGATATCACGAAAGAAAATGTTTCCTCGAAGAACATCAAATCGAGCATCACGAAGTTCTCTGATGAAAAAAGAAGTGACGGAGCCGCTGTCATTTTGAATAACCGCAGAATCAATCTGAGTGAGAGCAAAACGGATGATAGTAAATTGCATTCAAATTTGCAAAGTTATTTATTTGAGGAAAGTCAGAAAAACCAGCATGCCGGCCATCAAAGTACAAACTCTGCAGAGGAGACAAATCTAGAATCAACGAATTTTGATGTTTACATCAATCGTTTTGATACTTCGGTTAATTCGGAGGGTTATTCAAAATATCAATCACAAATCGGTCCTCAGACTGGAACTCCGAAACAATTTAATCAAGAAAACTCAAATGCTCGACGGGTTGACCCTCAATACTCACCGATTAAAATAGAAAATCAATCTCAATCAATATCGAGCGATAGTCAGGATGATGTCTGCTTCAATGAAATCAAATACAACTTGAGTAAAATTTGCAACGACGGGGCGAGGTACACCACTGCTGCAGAGAAAATGCAAACAATGAAAAATGTCAATTTCGAGAAATCGCAGCTGAAGAGCGAGGCAAATATTTCTCAACAAAATTACAAAAATTTAGAACAAGTAAGGACAGAGAAACAATTTGTGTCCGATGAGAGAGACTTTTACGCTCAATCCCAAAGTAGAAAGTCAAATTTCACAACGGAACAATTATATAGTGAAAATAGCTCGATTGAGCAAAGCTCTATCGCTGAAAGATCGGTGTATAAAGAAAATCAGTTCTATGAGAACTTTATGACTGCAGATCAGCACGACATAACAAGGCATTTCCAGCATGTTTTTTCCAACCCACCTCAAACGGTAGAAGAATCTAAAAGATCACGCAGCCCTGAAAAAACCAAACCAGTCGCTCCGAGTCAAACAATTCGCCTTAGCCCCGAAAAGCCGAACCGATTCAGTCCCGAAAGATCAGCTCAATTGAAGCCTGCGACCCGAACACTGACAAACATTCAAGATACGGCATTCAAAAGTCCTGAAAAAGAACAATCATATCAAACTGAGAATGTATTGCCCCCACCCGTAATCCCAAACCTTCCCAAGGAGACCAAGTTCAATAGCCTTGAAAAACCACCACCATATCAACCTGAAAAAGTGCCCCCTTTTCCAACCACGGATCTCGAGGATGCAAAGTTCAACATCGTTGAAACGACGCCATATCAACCTGAAAGAGCGCTGCCTCCCATTCCAGCGACAAGCCATCGGCCTCCCATCAAACCAACTGCCAACGAGTAAGTTTCAATTTTAATCTTTTACTTTTAATACTTTTACCCAAAAAAAGAAAAAAAAGATAGAAAAAAAAGAAAAAAAACCCGAGGGGCGGACTATGCAAGCGAAGCTAGGAGGGGACCGCCTCCCAAAACTCTACTGCGGTGTTCCGAAAGGGCAATGTTCCTCCGTAGATTATTACTTATTTCTCCTAATGTGTATGATTTTATAGTTCTCTTTAATATTTTAAGACCCCAAAGTTCTTAAATAGTATCAAGGAAATCTGAGAGGGCACGTAAAGCCTCGAATTCAGAATGCACAGAGAGACCTACTGAGTTCCTGGGGCCTTAAAAATGATGAGGGTTCCATCGAAGACTATAAAGTAAAATTTGCAGAAGTGTCACAAATAGGTAATAATGGGAAGTATCATTATTGAACCGCCACAGCCATGAATAAACTGAGTACGCGTTGCCGAAATACTGGAGCAACTATTACTGCTCCTAAGCAGGTCAAGTTGCCTATCGAGATATTGAAGGCGAACTGCTCGGGACGAGTGAGAAACAATACGAGTGGAGATTAACGCACAGGTGCCACAGGTGATGCGAAGGTATTATGCTACGGGTAATTACTAGCATTCCTTATCCCTTACAAGGTTAATGCATTTACTTAGTGTAAAAATCAGCTATTTAAAAGGAGATGGATTCGAGGGAAGCAAAAATTGAAGAATACATCACCGTGCAATTTACAGCATCTGGACTCCCATTTCAGTATTGAAAAAAGGGAATCATCTACTTGATTACATTTCAGAGTGAAATAATCGAGTGCATTAGGTGTATCAATTTTCTTCAGCGAATCAAATGAAATTTTAGATTGCTCTCATCTGAATCAGTTTTCGACCTGTCAAGTGAAGACAAGTATCAAAGTCAAGCTACAATGGCGATTCTCTATCAAGCACAGCCCTTGAAATACGACTATAGCCCTGACATTTACAAGTATTTTCATTATTCTGGTGAAAAAATTGATAGGATTTTTAATCTCGCCAGAAATAATTGAAGTATGGAAAAGGATTCAAAGAGGTATCGTGAGAAAAAAAAGAATAAAAAAAAAGTAGGAAAAATAAACGTAAAAATAATCAAAAACATACAAGATATAAGACAGAAATACATGGGAAAAACATTTTTAGTCTTCAAAGTTGGCAGAAGGCGAACCTATTTCTAATTTTGTCTCAGCTCTCTGCCCACATTCGTTTTGCTTCTGTTTTACGGATTCTGCCTCTTTTCTTCTTCTTTCTCTCCCTTTCATCGGTGCTTCGGCCGATTCTTTCTCAAGTTGTTTCCGACAGAGGCGAGTTGCCTCTTCCTAAAATTTAAAATGCACCAATTCCCCACGCTTATATTATTAAGTAGTTGAATTTTACAGTTTTATCAGATTTTAGTTTTTTAAATCATTTTTAGTTTGCATACCCACTCCTCGCGCCAAGCAGTTACGTTTTGTTTGAATTTTGACTCGAATATTTTCTCCGAAGTGCATCGCCGGCCAGTCAAAAGGCTCTAATTTATGGAGTTTTTATAGGTTCGCGGAGTTTAACGGCTTTCTAGCTTCAATTGTTTTGCGCCAAAATAGCTGTCGCGACACCGTCAATATCTGCTCCCGGTTCTCTGTTTCTATTTTCTAAACGCTCCGTTTTTTTATTTTTCCTCTTTTCCAGAAACAAATCAAGAATGGACCCGGCACCCTGGAGGTAAGAAATGTTTACACCCCTCTTCTTATTTTTCCTTTAACTTGGTTTTCGTGTGCACAAGACAGCGATTCGCGTAAATGAGGACATTCATCTCGAAAAATGGTTTCGTATAAAGAATGTAGTAAAATATGGAGTTAATTTCAAATTCCGATGGATTTGTTTTTTTTCCTATTTCTTTTTTCCATATTATCTTGGTTTTGTCCCATAGATGCTGAAAGGAATAAGAGCTATATCCAATTTGCTCTCTGATTGAATGAATAACAATCGGCGCCGGCTCTTTGATTGAATGGTAATACCTAAAGTGTGAAATATCAGGTCCATCCAGAGTCGGTGGATTAGTTGGGTGTGATAGATCGAATCGTCAATTATCATCATGGCAAGGACTTGACATCTATTTTTTGGTGAAATGTTCTTTAAAAACTGCACTAATATTCGTGAAATTTTTAAACATGGGCGTGAACATTTAAGAAGATATCTTGACTTTTTAAAATCAATCGTTGAATGAGCGGCTGTCGAAATCAAAACTCTTTACAGAAATGATTCCATTGATTCCATGGACTTCCGCTGAAGTAAGCGACTTAAGCTCGATGAAATGAGCCAATAACTGAAGAGGAAGGAATTATGGATATTTGTTGTAAAACAGTTAAATTTCTCATAACGGTTTTTTAGTCTTTCTGTTTGTTGAATAAATATTTTGTATCATATCAGTTGGACTGCATTTTGCGATAAGGAACTACAATTTCTGACTCGCACATAAAAACACCTATCTGCATAAGGAATATGATGATGTATATGCTGTTTTTAAAATGAGCCAGAAATCGCAGTACCTATAAATCGCAAAATTTGGTCCAGTTACCTATACTTAGTCCATAGATTGCTACACCCTCAACTTTGACGTGCCAATTGCCTAAAAGCGACAGTGAGATGTGAAAGCAGTTTATATATGAAATTTGCCGGTTAGTTTTTCGATTCTTGTTCTTTGCTTTGACATCAGCGCTCAGCAAAATACTGGAAATTTCATCTCTAATCGTATTATCCCCTGTCAAATCACCATTTTCATTTAGTAATCGCAAGTTTAAAAAGTAACAAATAAAAAGAGGAATCTGTCGTAAAAGTCGTTCAGAAAATTGACGATTAAATGAAGAGCTTCACCTCTTTAAAAAAAAAAAGCTCATTTGAGTTCTTCTGAATCGTTTTGCGGGCAATTTTCTATATTCCAGGAAGGATTTATTCATGATTCCTGTCAAATGACCTTATCTACAAACAAAAAAAATAACAAAATGATCAAGTCGAAAGTGATATGTCACTGCAAACTAGACGTGCTAAATGGCTGAATTTTCAAACACCGCTGTGTTTGGTCATCTGCTCATATGAATTATAAAACTTCACTCATCAGACTTTTTCAAAGACAGTTGATTCTGATGTAAACCAATCACTTTTCAATTGATTTTAAATATTGTCAAACGCGTAACCTGTTTCGTTTTAAAGTTTTAGGAGGAAACATAGCAGTGAATCTTTATTCGTGTCTTTTCTAAGGGTTCATTCAAGCTGCTCTATCACTTGCCCCTCCCCTTTTTTATTTCATTCCATCCTTACTTGAAACGATCCAAGTTGTGATCTAATACTTGTATAACTATTTATTCATTCACTATTCCCACCAGGAGGCTACTGTTAAACTATTTGCTCGTCACCTTCTTATTACCAAACCACTGGAAAAATTCTGGCTGTAAATCGTCTTTTTAAATTTCACATATGGTCATACCGCAGTTCTCCCTCCCTTTTTTATTAGTGTTCGGATGTTCGTTACCGTAGAGGAACTCCAGAAATTAAATCAAACATTTCCTCAACCACGCGGCAACTTCGAAAACTGAACGTGGGTAGCCTCCCTGTGGATAAAATTTCGTATATGCTCGGAAATTTATGAGTCGTGACATAAGCCGTTATTTTTGGGAGTTTGCTTGAAGCTACTGAAGTTAGGGCGCAACATCCATTATGAGTGTATGGCCGTGCATCGGATTAAACTGTTTTTCCGGAAATTCTACTGTCAAAACTTTTCCCTTAAAACCAAGCAGGTTCTCATAGTATTCTGGCAAAACACCCATGGATTTATGTAAACTCGCAATTCGTTGGATTTTCCTTGTGTTTTGTCGGTAGAAAGGTTCACATCTTTCGATTTTTCTTCATGTCAACACATCTCCTTTTCGGAAAATTTTTCCTCACCCGACACCCACTCTCTAAGTAAGAACTTCAAAACAGATTCCAAGAACAAGAAGATGTACTTTAAAAGTATTGGATATACGACTGTGGATCGAATAAATAGAGGCTCATTTTGTTGATTATCTTAATATTTTAAAAAGATTCATGTGCTTTGCGATATCTTAAAAGGTTTTACTTCCTCAATTTAACAAAGCATAATTCAAAAAATGTTGAACTACAGAGAGTATTTGAGCGACTAACAGTTTTTAGGGGTCGTTACCCGCGCACCGCAGTTCAGAGTTCACGGAATCTTGATACAACTATTTCGACTCCTATGAGTCCACTTTTGCCTATCTCACGAATTGCAGGCAAACTATCAGCTTCATTATCTCTGTGCTAGAGACGGCATTTCAATAGGATCACCATTTTTAATGATTGAAATATCAGGCGAAGGGGTAGACAAAGTTCTTATGTTCAGTGTCATGTTATGTTCTTAAGTTTAGTTTGATGTTCTTATCAACTTTTTATAGTCCAAAATCCTGATCTTGAACTTTCTGGTTTAATTTATGCAACTCCGCCACTTAATACACAAGAAAAGACCTTTAAATGGATAAAAATGAACTGGGCAAGGGAGAGAGACTTAACACTCGATGATAATTTCTCCACTTTTTTCTTCCAAGAAAAAAATGACGCATGCTCATTGAGTGTTCGTCGACACATCCGTGGGATTTCGGTATTTTGATCCTCTCCTCTCCCCGGCCCCGCCGCACAGTGGATCGAGTCAATGAAAGAGGTCTGACATGACATTCTTGACTAAAACTGCAACTTTTTATGTTTATTTCGTCACATTTAAATTTCAAGAGGTGCTCTCAAAGGAAAATTTTACGAGGAAACCAATAAAACCACTTTTAGAACCTCAAAGTTTTGTATAATCGAAGTTATAAGCGATTAAAGATTCCACATTTTGCCCGACCTCTCGTATTGACTCGATCCACTGTCCGCCGTGGCTCCCTCCTTCCTGGTCAAGCACGGTATTTACCAACGTTTACAGCATCATGGATTAATGATTTAACGTTGCGCCGTTGCGAATGGCTCCAGGCTCCTCTTTCTTAGTCAACCATATTGGGAACTGCACCCAAAAAAAAAAAAAAAAAAAAAAAAAAAAAAAAAAAAAAAAAAAAAAAAAGGTTTGAGATACAGAGATACAAGTATGGTAATCACCAGTAGACAGTATGGTAGCGAATAATGTTACTCTGAGCAAATTCACCAAACGTAAGGCAAATCTAAGGAATCCTCCTCCACAAATCTGGGGATTTGGGATTTTTTTTCTTCCTAGCTTGGATGCTTCAATCTCGGATCAATTGAGCTACTTCTTATCTCCTTGCGAAGTCCAAATTTCCATGGCCAAAGTGGGAAACCACGTATCTCTGTTTGCAATACTGCAGACTCCTTGCGGGAAAATAATTTTAAATATTTTTTTCTAAAATTTTCAGATAATTTCGTACGCAATTCAATCTAATACATCTGAAAATGACAAAGAAAAATGTGCATGAATGTCGTCAAAGATACATGTTTTGTCAAGGAAAATTTGGCAACTCTCGAATGTTCATACGGCGTTCTTCCTTAGCAGGGCAGTGCATAGGCTGGGTGGAAAAATGCTCTGCATCTGGATGAGAAGGCATTGATCCAGGTGCAAAGTCTGAGTGCCATTAATGCAGGGAGCAGAGGGCTCTGCGGGGGCGGGGGAGAGGTGAAAAAGGAGAGGTGAAGAAGTGGAGGAAAAGGAGGAAGGAGACGATGACTGAGGTCATACCTCCATGTGTCTGACCGGTTGTCTCGGCGCTGGATGCGGGCGACGACGCGCGATGTAGGAGAGCAACACCGCCGCCGCCAACAATCATCAGTGCTCAACCGGTCCTTGTGCATGCTCTTACGATCTCCGAGTGTTTTTTTCGCGCCGTGAGCCCGTGTTTTTCGCGTCGATACATTTTATAACCTCTGCGCGTCTCGCGTTTGTTTACCGCGCCCAACCAAAATAGCCTCCGCTGTTTTCGCATTTCGGATCGGATGTGCTGCGCGCCTCGAGAAGGAATAAGCGCCGTCTAGGAATTCCAGTTTAAGGTTAATAGTGAAAATATTTTTTCATTTTCAGCCAGAATCTATGATTGGTGAGAATGTGACCGCATTCCGATAGTCCCCTTTTCGTTAAATTTATTCATGGATTTTTTTGGGAAAGTATTGATCTAGTGCTTTAAAAAGTATATGCTATAGTGTTTTATCGGTGATAACCGAAAGTAGGAGAAGCGTCAGGAATTGCAACTGATTTCCGGATTGAGAGAGTTTGGATGCCCCTTCCATGGAGAGGAGATATTCTGGCTTGACCGGAAGTGGCTATAGCTAATCTCGATGGCATGGGGCATTTTTCAGATTACTTCGTTCAATATAGCCAGATCAGTTCCAACTCCAGCATCCTCACCCGATATGGCATATATCACGTAAACTTATGATGTCGTTTAATAGTTTATTTATATGATAGACATTTGTATGTATGTGCGAGGCAGAAAGCGCGCATGATGTCGCACAACTGCATCGGCGTTGAGTTGGTCAGTGAAGGCGGGGGATTCTCTTCCCCATTCATTTCTTCGAACGTTCCTTCAAGATGAAACCGCATGAGAATTGGGAGGATGTTTGCTTCCAGTAGACTTGCATTCAGCAAAGAGAGTGGAACAAAAAGGGAGTGCACAAAAAGTGGAGATTTAAGCTAAATATGATGAAAAAACCAAGAAAGATGGCGAAATTCTCGC